ATTTCTTTGTATGTATGGATCACTTGGGTTGTTACCAACATCTGGTGAAAATTTCATGTCATTAGCAACTCTAGTAATATATTTACTGAGAAAAATGGTGACGTGTTCAATACTTATTTTACCCACTGTATATGCAACAGATACCAACATTCTTTTTTTCCCTCCTGCAGTTATCTAATCTGTTGCTTTGTCTTGTGTTATTTCCTTTCTTTTTTCTCTTTCTCTTTTCTGGCATCTGCCTCTCTTGACGTCCATCCAACCCGTCCTCTCTACCTGGGGACTGCAGTGATGGCTTCAAAAGGCAAAGTTAGAGGTGAGTTGAGGCTGCTGTACTCTCTCTGCTTTAGCTTTTTTTTAAATCATAGTCATGGTGGGTTTTAAACAGCTACAAAAGGTAATATTTGCAGTTATTTACATTATCATTTTGGCTTTTTTAGGAACATTCTCATTGATATTTTAACTTTAATAATAGACATTAGCTGTTTATGTGTCATGGCTCTGTGTAGATGTTCAAACTTGTTAACCTATGAGTAACCAAGCCATTTGTATCAGGATATGGCACTGAACTAAATAAATGGGCTTAACCATTTAAACTAACACTTTTTGTACTTATTGGCTATTTTGATCCTTAGAGTAAGTAAATTATGATTAAGTTTCTTGAAAGTTAAAGTGCAGTTTGTGAGGCAGAATAGAGGTTTTTGTGTCATTTTTTTAATTGTCCTTAAAATGCCTGTGACATCAGCTTTTTGGAACACACATGAATGCATATGAGGTAACACTAATCACAAATTGCAAAAAAAATAAAAATAATGATAAAATAAACAGAGATGAACAGTTGATGAGATAGTCACATGTGAAGTAGCAGGAAGTGATGACAAAGAGAAATGTCTACATGTAATAGAATGTTGCTAAAATGTCTGACGACACAGGCTGTTGAGAACCATTGGATGTTTCTTTAGAATATTTTGAGTCACTATCAGAGAGATGAAGAAGAGTCAGAGTTTATGCAACGATGTTTCAAGAAACAAAGACCAGAGAGTTTTCTTTCTTAAAGAGTTCCCCTTTGATGTCACTTCCTGTTTCACTTTGGTTGAGCTAAATCCAAAGAAAATATGCCAGTTATGTGATAAAATATGTCAAATCTTGAGAATTATAGAAGTTTCTTACACATAAATATGTTTTCTTTGACTTTTTGTATTTGAAGAATATGCATGTCACAGACACTTTAAAGCAATAGCTCAAATAGTTTGAAGTGGGATTTTTTGGAAAGATTGAGGAGGATTACAATATTTCCTGTTGTGGATACCATTTGGAACAACTTCACCTTTAAAAGATTATGTTTAATTCTGACCAAACAGTTGAAATGACTGGTCCAGTTGGGACAAGTGTATTGCTGCCAGTTTAAAATGACTCCAGTGTTAAGGCTTGTACTTTTATAAACTGTATTATTTTACTTATAAGAAATTAACTAAAGAGTAATTTCACAAAACCATATAAGAACTTGTATTGATTTAGTTTTAATCATTAAGATTTTAGGTTTTGTTTGTTTTGATTGTTAATCAATGTAACATTTTTTTACAGTAGGTTAAGCTACATAAAATAGTTGATCTTCCCACTATCCATTCCTTTATTTGCTTTTTCAAAGCAAAACTATGGGGCATATTTCCTGGGTAGCAGCATTTTAAAACCAGAACAGACTTTTCCTGCTAACAAGCAAAGCATAGTCAACAAGCTACAGTTTTAACATTTTAAAAAGCTTGAAGCAAAGGGTTTCGAACAAACCATGTTGCTTTCTTATATTGCTATTTTACTTTATTTTTCTTCATCTGAATCCTCATCAGCAGCCATAGTTGTTAAAACATGAACATCATTTTCCTCTCAACACTTCACTACGCAATCTTGTCTTTTTTCCCCCGCTGTGTGTGAATGTTTAATTAATTCCGACCATCTTTCATCCCATCAACATCCAGCTGCATGTGTTAGTCTGAAATATCTTATTCAGCGATGAGATCCTTCACTTTTTAAGCCGTACCAGATCTTCTTCTCACTTTGACACTACTGAAAGTCCTCTATGCCCTTAAGTTGAGAACACAAAAACAACGCTCCCATCTAATGTGCCACTCGTTCCCAAATAATGAGGCAAATTCAGTCAAATTCAACTAAACTCTGAACATTATACAGAATCAAGGATTCAAATTTTAATTATTATTTCATTGGTCATTTCGCTGCTGCATTTTCTTTTTCATGTGTTACTGGAAAAAAAACTGAATCAGATATTTTTAGACAACGTGACAACATGGTGACGTCACTGTCTGGGACACAAATAAACTTCACAGAGAAAACAGAGGATGGAGCTAACAATGTAACAACTGCACAGCAGATGCCAAAGCACAATACTGTACTCACTGCGTGCAAAACTGTTGTTTGCTTCTTCTTTTTTTTTTCATTCCAATTACATCTCCACACAAGATAAGTTGCTACCTTTTATTATTCATGCACAGATAAGCTAAAACACTGTGATTACTCACAGATAAAGTGATTAACTTAATTGCTTTATATTATTAATTACTGTAACTAATTCATGTTTTTTCCAACAGAAAAACCCGCAGAAGTTTCAAAAATATTGGATAAATAAGTGTACAAATCATCTGCACATAATTGATTTCTTGGAAGACATGTTTTCTTGTCACTCCTAATAAAAATCTAAACATGATGAGTCACACATATAAAGTGTGAATAAACATTTTTTGTTGTAGTGGTGGGTTTATCTGCAGAATATTTGCCCTCAGCCTCTATTTCCTGATGCTCATCTTATGTTGATATGTCCAGGACATTTTTTATCCTTTTTTTTTCTCCGCAACCCTTTTGGCAGTGAGTGAATAGACACCAGCCACTCACACAGCACCATTGTGAGAACTAGAAAATAGCAGCAATCAGTTCAAATCGATGTCTCCTTCCTCTGCTTTTTGTCTGGCTGAGCTGAAGCCACACCTGCATTTAGGTTTATTAGGCAGACCACGAAAGTCTGGTGAAGCAAAACCTTACCGCGTTGGTGTGCAAAAGGTGTTTGGGATTGGGGTGTAGAATCAAACTGCTGTGAATGATTTTTTTTTGTCTCAAATTCTCTGACTAGCACAGCCTGTCTTTTACATTTGTAATCTCGTGCTCATTTGAAGGCTGCTGCTGCTACACTCCTCTGACATGTTTCAGTTTAAACTAACACAGCACACATATTTTGTAAATGTATGATTTTATTGAGTACCTGATGGTATTTAGTGCTCTTGGTTCATGCGCATATTTGTTTTCGCTTGTGTGTTTTTGCATTGGTCCTGCAGTGAACTGGGGATCATTTCAGGTTTTTGCTTGGCTCTTTCCCATAACTCTGAACAAAAAGTGGTAGAAAAGTGTGAGTGAATTTTTCTAAGTTACATGATTTAAAGTCACTATGGACTTACTGTATATGTAATACTTTATATGTAATATTAAATCCTAAATCTAAATGTGTAAATCTAAATGTAAAATAAAAACTTAAACGTTGCAGGTAAATGATATAGTTTACATTTAAGGTTTTCAGAGTGGAATGCAGCCTTTGCTGTTGGCATGCAGCTTTTGTTTTAACATCCTGAGACAAAAGCTAACTGCTAATGCTGCTAACATTAATGAAGATGGCATTAAACATTTAAATTCAAAATGTGTTCATTGAAAACAATATGGATGGTGGTCCGGCAGTTTGAATTGTAATTCGGACACTGGCTACGACTGCAAATTTTATGTCTTGTAGGGCAGCTTTTTTTTTTCCATTTAAGTTTTTAATGAAGCAATGAATTTAGCTTTAGCAGTGTTAACTGCATTAGCTATTGCTTTTGTGTCAGGATGATGATGTCATAACAAGAGTTGCGCACCAACAGCAAAGGCTGCATTCCATTTTGAAATATTTAACATTTAACCACATTTGCATTTAACTTTTTCATTTAGAATGAAATTATCACATATAGATACTGTATAACATTTAACATTCAGTAAAATTTAGCAATATGTAAAAACAGTGAGCTAAATAACAATAGCATGTTAGTGGATTTTTTTAACTAGGTTTTTACACTCAGAAAGTGAACTAAATGAAAATGTGACAGTGGCATTTTGTTTCACACTTGGCAATCCATAGCCACATGGAATAAAACGTTTCATTTTTAACAATGTATGAAAAAGTACCCTATTTTAATTTTACCAATAACATTTCAATTTCTTGCAGATGTCATGCAAGTTGCTAAAATGATTTATTTAGATGTTTTAGAGCTTCATTAGACTAGTCTAAACTTAGCATCAAGAGATCTACTATGTAAACCCTGACAACATGAGCCCTGTCTGAGAGTTGCTGTAAAAGTGCACTGCAGTAAAGGCAATTTGACGTGAGTCGAATGATGAAAGCAGGTTTCAAAAAAGCTAGGGTTTTCTGCCCACTGAATCTTGTAGCAGATCTCCCCCAGGGGGCAAAGAGCATTTCCCCAGATCACTCTCAAATGAACAGTATCTGTCAACACATCACTACACATTAGAAAATCACACAGTGTCATGTTGATGTGGGGGATTTGGGAGTGTTTGGTGGCAGCAGTGATTAGTCTGATTTCCCTCATGAATGCAACCCTTGCCTGCAATCATTGAGCTTTCACATTTGAAAGCTTGAAAAATGAATTATTTCATGCAATTTAAATATATATATATATATACACATACACATATACATATACATACATATATGCACATACCATTCCGTCAGTGCCCTAATAGAAATCCTAGGATGTAAACACCTATTTGTGTGCATTTGTGACCATGCATGGATCTCTCCAATGGAATGTTTCAAAGTGACTACTTGTTTTGACTTATCTTGATCATGTACAAGTCTTAACCACTAAGTTGAAAGAGAAATTATACGTTTATTCAAAAATTAGATCCAATCTGACATCTGTTTCAAATATCTATCTTCATGCCATTATACTCTCAACCATGTCGTACTGTTTACTTTTTTGATCTCTTAAAAAATGAAATCTTAGAACCCATAGTTAGGCTCTACAACAGGGCCTACAAAATTCATAAAAAACTTCCTGGTTGGACTCATCACTGTACAGTTCTTTCATTGTCTGATGCCTTGACTTTTCAGAATTATGTTTTGTATNCAATTTAAATATATATATATATATATACTAGTCAAGTAGGTTTTCCCTCCAGATCAGTTTTAGCGAAAACACAATAAACCATATTTCCCTGACCTTGTGTTTTCGTGACATTTCATTTACAAAACCTACCAAACCAGCAACT